GGATGAAAATAAATTAATAAGCAGCAAAGAAAATAAATAATATAATATAATATAATTATAATACAGAGAGAAGTGATAACCAAAGTGAACCAATAAACAAAAAAACAAACTCTGTCAGCCTTTTTATGTTATTGAAATATGTTCAATGTAAAAGCAACAGTTGCATGTATAAAAAGACAGTGAAGACCTTCAAAAAGATCTCACAAAATTAGGTGACTAGGCATCAAAATGGCAAGAGAATTTTAATGTTGGTAAATGCAATGTAATGCATATAGGAAAACATCTCAACTATATGTACAAAATGATGGGGAATAAATTAGCTATTGCCATTCAAGAGAGAAATCTTGGAGTCATTATGGATTGCTCTCTGAAAACATCCACTTAATGTGCAGCAGCAGTCAAAAAAGCAAACAGAATGTTAGAAATAATTTAAAAAGGGATAGAGAAAAAGACAGAAAATATCTTATTGCCTCTTTATAAATCCATGGTACGCCTGCATCTTGAATACTGAGTGCAGATGTGGTCACCTCATCTCAAAGAAGATATCTTGGCATTGCAAAATTTTAGAAAAGGGCAACAAAAATTATTAGGAGTTTGGAACAGCTGTCATGTGAAGAGAGATTAATAAGACTGGGACTTTATATCTTAGAAAAGAGGAGACTAAGAGGGGATACGATAGAGATCTATAAAATCATGACTGATGAGGAGAAAGTAAGGAAAAATTATTTCCTTGTTCCCATAAGACAAAAGCTAGGGGGTCATCAAAAATGATATTAATAGGTAGCAGGTTTAAAATAAACAAAAAGGAAGTACTTCTTCATACATTGCACAGTCAACCTGTGGAACTCCTTGCCAGAGGATGTTGTGAAGACCAGAACTTTAATAGTGTTCAAAAAAGAACCAGATAAATTAATGGAGGTTAGGTCCATCAGTGACTGTTAGCCAGATTGGGTGGAAATGATGTCCCTAGCCTCTGTTTGTTGGAAGATGGGAATGGTCTACAGGGGATGCATCATTTGATGATTACCTGTTCTCTTCATTCCCTCTAGTGCACCTGGCATTGGCCACTGTTGGTAAACAGAATGCTGAGCTAGATGGACTGTTGGTATGGCCCAGTATGGCTGTTCTTATGTTAATATTTCAAATTGATGAAGAATTCTGGAAAGAGTTCTGGTGATATTACAGAGATGGAGTTTGAATGCTAACACAAAAGCAATTTTTTTCAAACGTTACTGTGTTAGGAAAACTGATGGGAAATAATCCACTGGTCCATGTTGGCCTACAGTGACAATCTGTACTGAGAAGCTGCAAAAGTAGCTCTCTGGAGCCATTTATGCTCAGCAGCAGAGTCTAAAAAGTTGGGAGATGATATTTAAAAGTTGGGAGGTGTTATGCTAAAGCTGAGAGTGGAATTATTTTTAGTACTTCTTTGCAAAATGTAGTTTCTAGTTTACATTCCTAGAGCATGTGGTCTTGTGGAAAACTTCCATATCAATTATATATGTTCAGGAATAAGTGCCATATTTAATTATCTTGATTTAAAACAAGAAGCTTGTATCTTCTCTTTCTGTTGATTTCTTTTAAATCTGAGTTATTTGATAAAGTAGTTCAGATAGAGGTGCATGAAAATGTTACATTACAATTTTTATCTTTTTTGGGAAACTGTTGGAATCTGTATGTTTCTCACAGAGATAAATTTGATATGGCTCTTTCTTCCATATACCTTTAAAAATGATGATGCAGTCCCTGCCCTAGGGATGCATCTGCACGTTTATGTGTACTACAGAACACAAAGTAGCAATACATTTTTTTTAACTTTGCCACATAAAGCAGTAGATTGTGTTATAAATAGATGTTTAAAATCTAGGAGATTTTTTTTTGCCTGGTTAAACAATATAAGGTTTTATCCTTCATTCTTTTTACACCCAAGATTCCCTTTCAAGTCACTGAGAATTCCTGGTATGCAGGGAATGCACAAACCAGACCTTCTCAAGGGTAATTTATCATGTCTGAAGTTTAGGCATAATCTAATGAGCAGTAGCTTTTTAGATACAGTAAAATATGCTGGTGCTCTAAAAGAATGCTCAGTTTTCAAGTAGTGACACATACTAGAACTGCGGTTTACATAGTTCTTCACGATTGTTTAGAAAAGGACAGCATGTAAGTTATTCAGGTATAATAACTTGAATAATATTCAAGTAAAATATTTAAGTAGTAAGTTATCAGTATGTCCACATTATTGCTGCTATAGCAACACACCTCTGATGCTTCAGCAGTGCCACTGTATCATCACAGCTGACATTTCCTACATCAGTGGAAGGGATTTTTCCATCAGTGTGGTTCACCTCTCTGAATGTTGGTATGCATGTCAGTGAACAAATTCTTCCTTCAGCTTAGCTGTGTCTACACTCTTGGCTGAGTTGTTCTAACTATGGCACAGAGTCCTGAGTGATGTAGCTAAGTCACTTCAACTTTGAAGTGTAGACCAGGTCTGAGTTTAGTTTTATATTTTTCCAGCCTCTGCAGTTTTTTTTCCTGTGATTACGTACATTGATTAGGGGGTTACATTGAAAAGTCAGCACATGGTTTTGTGCTGAGGGATTTGGGCTTATTTCGTCTGCAGAAGAGAAGAGTGAGGAGGAGGATTTGATAGCAGCCTTCAACTTCCTGAAGGGAAGTTCCAGAGAAGATGGAGCAAGGCTGTTCTCAGTGGTGACAGATGGCAGAACAAGGAGCAGTGGTCTCAAGTTACAATGGGGGAGAGGTCTAGGTGGGATACTAGGAAAAACTATTTCACAAGGAGAGTAGTGAAGCACTGGAATGGGTTACCTATGGAGGTGGTGGAATCTCCATCCCGGCTTGACAAAACCTGGCTAGGATGATTTAATTATGGTTGGTCCTGCTTGGGGCAAGGGACTGGACTCAATGACCTCCTGAAATCTCTTCCAGCCCTATGATTCTATGATTCTGTACACTAATACTGATATGGAGGAATGTAATTACTCATAATACTAAGATTGTCTGAAGTTGTAATTATGAAGTATCTGTATACAAGCAACAACATAATTTTACATTTTTTCCTTTACTGTTGCATCCAACATTCAGCAGTACTAATTTACTAAATAAAGCATGCTTTGCCCCACTTCAGGAATGCTTTTAAGCTTATACTCATAGGCTTTCTCAGAATAGAGGTATATATCACATACCAAATTTGCTGCATAATGTAGTATGTCTGTTATTTATGTTTTTTTTATTTTTGTGAAACTCCCAAACACTTTTTTCAAAGCTACAACTATTGCTTTCATTAATGTTTCAATTAGTAATTCTGGGATTTTATTTGTTTTTCTGAAAGGATCCAAGTAAATGACCAAATTGTAGAAGTGGATGGAATCAGTCTGGTTGGTGTTACACAGAATTTTGCTGCAACAGTTCTCAGAAACACCAAAGGAAATGTCAGGTGAGTAACTATGTTTGAAGAACACACTGATGGTACTAAACATTTCAAGTTATCTAGCTGATCATTAAAAGTGTTGGTTTCTTGAGGTCTGAGTAGTATAAGAAATGGAAAGAGAGAGGGCTCTATACCTTTTTATCCGGGACATCTCTGCTGGGACTCCCAGTAATGATATAAATTATGTCAATAATTTTTGGTGATGTGACTGTGTGATAAATAAGATTTGGATGTAAACCACAGATAGGTGAGATCCTCAGTTGTAATTGGTAAAACTTGATTTCTTTCAAAGGCTCTGACCTGTTGTTCACATAGGCCACCAAATAGTCCTACAGAAACCTGATGGAAAATCATTGCTAATACTGTGCCAATACTAATTTACCAAGCCACCCTATCCCAACTACTTGGTCTGGTTTATCCCCATATTCTTGCTATAAATTTTGTTCTTCATTTATTAGCTTCTATTAATTAAAAGGGATTGTTGCAAGTGCCAGTAAAATAATGAACAGGCTAGAAAATATTGTAAAATTCATCGCGCAAAATTTTTAATACAAGATGTAAACTCAAAATGTTCTTACTAATTCTATAAAAAGAATATATACTCTTGTACCTCCTAATTTCAATAAATATTTAACTGACAAATCAATAAACAAAAATGTGTAGCATATTATAAACTAATATCCAAGCTGTAGCTGCCTTTAGTTAATTGAAGCTACTCAATTTTACTGCACAGAGGATAGACCTGACCTCTGCTCCTGGCCCTGACCCTGACCTGGCCACTAGCCTCATGTCCTGTGCTTCATGCCAGCCTCGGCCCCTGGCCTCAGTTATGGTCCCACTCTCAGCTGTGACCCGAGCCTCAGCCTCAGCCTCAGCCTCCGCCTCCTTCCTCCTGTTCACATCCTTTCCTCTCAGAGCAAATGGCTTTGCCAGATAGTAGAAAGGGGGAACATGATATAAAAAGTTTGGGGACCACTGGTGTAGACCATGCAGATGGGTAGAGTGCTGGGCTTTTTTATGGTTTATATTTAGACAAATGAATATTGTAAAAATTGTAGTTTAGTTACAATAAACTATTAATCTTTTGTGTAGCACATGCAGTTATAGCTATATTAATTGGGACCCAATCCTGCAAAGACTTCCACACAGATTTAACTATAAGAACTGGGAATTGGTGGCAACCATCCACCTCAAAAGACAGTTGTGAATTGTTAAAGCAGTTCTGTTACTTTGTAGTCCTGTGGCACCTTAGGGACTAACAAAAATCTATATAATTTTATGAGCTTTTGTGGGCAAAACCCACTTCAGAAGAGCTTCCAGCTTCCATCTCATCTGAAGAAGTGGGTTTTGCCTATAAAAGCTCATGACGCTTTATATATTTCTGTTAGTCTCTAAGGTGCCACAGGACTACTCATTGTTTTTAAAGTTACAGACTAACACAGATGGTTCAAAAGTTCAATTATTTAGCCAAAGTCCTTGCCAGAAATAGCGCAAGTGTAAGGCTGGGGGCTGGCAAATGAAGCTGGTACACTACTAATGATTGAGGCCACATTCTCTTTGCTTCGTTGCTTGCAACCACCTCAGTTCAGCCTCTCTGCCCTCCTCGACAAAGTGCAGCCATCTACTGTGGCCTATCATTTCATGTTCCCGAATCACAGTGTCAGCACTGAAAGATTTCTAGTCGCTCTTGCAAAATATTCTTGAATTTAGATTGACTCAATCCACATTTTCTCTGTATAGAGTGTCCTTTAGAATGTATCCATTCATGGTGGATGACCAAGCCAACAGAGATATTTATGTTTGAGAATAGTGATTAGACTTGCTAATTTTTCTTTAAGTGCTTTGGTGCCAGAAATTTGGGTTTCCTGTTTGATAGTTAGAGTAAAAGCAGGCGTGAAAGGTGTTTAGCCTTCTTTCAAGCTATCTGTAGTTAGTTCAGGTCTTGGCACAATAAAGCAGCATGCTCAAAATGCCCACCTTTTAAACCCGTACCTTGGTGTTCAACGTTTGTTTCCTGTTGTGTCTCAGATGCTTTGTCAGTTGGTCTATTGTAGTAGCTGCTTTTCTGATGTGAGAATTAAACTCATATTTGGAGATAATAAATCGGTTACATTTGATCCTTGATAGCAGAATTTATGCACAACTTCTAGCATAATGTCAGCTATTGATGTAATCATAGTGGAGTCAACAAGCTTTATGCTATAATTGTGGTTTTCTTAAGACTGATGGCTAGTCCTCATTTAACACAAGGTAGCACAAAGCTATAGAAAAATTGTTGACGCTTTTGTCAGGCCTGAGATGTTCCCCACTCCTAACACACTGTTGTCATGATATATATTCCCAAAAGTGTCATGTAAGATATATTTGAAAAATTAATTAATTGCTGATCATTAATATTATTGCTATGTGTATCTGCAAGATATGAACAAAAATCAATGCTATGTGTTAGAATCATGTTCTTAAAATGTGTTTGGTGTGCAATGCATAAGTGCAGTCTGCCATCCACAGGAGGTATATTCGCTTGGCTGACCAGCCTGGTCATCAGGCAGAGACTGGGAACATGTGTTTAAACACAGGTAAATATAGGTTTAAATAAAGGTAAATACAGCCATGAGGCTAGCAAGAGGAGGAGGTAACAACTCAACTGTCATCTGCTAAAGAGGAACCAGCATGACATCTTCTGCCTGCATGGTGTCTTTTCAAAAGGACAAAAGGAAGGTTTATCTGGGAATACATTTCATTGGTTTACTGGAATATAAAACAAGGTGTCTGAATCTCATAGTATTAATGTGCTATAAAAATGTATCAAGTATAATCTTTTATGAAAACTAATGACATACTGTTGATTAATATCATTGGAGAATGTATGTATTAAGACTACATGAGGAATTAAGCAAGGTATGATTAAAAACAATAGAAACCCCATCTATGTATGAATCATCATAGAGATGGGAAGTCCACAGTAAGGGAGGAGAACAGCATGAGATCATCTTGAGCGTGTGGACAAAACAGTGAGATAAACAGGAGATAAACAGGAAGATAAAAGGAGAGAGAAGAAGCCATCTTGGCATATGTCACTGGGACAGACAGAAGGGGGACTGAGCTCTTGCAAGTTGTGAAAAATGAGTCCCTCGACCAAGGGGCTTGAAGTCTCTGTAAACTGAATGGCCATGTCCAGACTCAGGGTTTTTTTCGGGAAAAGTAGCCTTTTCCCGAAAAAACTTCCCCTGCGTCCAGACTCAAGCCGCGTTCTTTCGAAATTATTTCGAAAGAACGCGGCTTTTCTTTCGATGGCGGTAAACCTCGTTTCACGAGGAAGAACGCCTTCTTTCGAAAGTTCCTCTTTCGAAAGAAGGCGTTCTTCAATGTAAAGAGGCCGTCTTCGAAAGAGAGCATCCAGACTCGCTGGGTGCTCTCTTTCAAAAAAGCGGATTTCTCTTTCGAAAGATCCGCCTGCAGTCTAGACGCGATCTTTCGAAAGATCTTTAAAGAGGGAAAAAACAAGACCAGTTTGCCTGACCTCAATACCTGGGAAGCTACTAGAGTATGTATAAAACATTCAGTTTGTAAATACCTGGAGGGCAAAGGGGTGATCACTACTAGTCAGCATGGATTTTCCAAGAACAAATCCTGCCCAACCAACTCTTGACTTCTTTCTTTGACATGGTAGTTAGTTCAGTGGTTAGAGGGAATGTGGTGGCTATAGTATACCTGGATTTTAGCAAGTTTTTGAAACAGTCCCACATGATATTCTTATCAGTAAGGTAGAGAAATGTGGGTTCAGTGGCTCTACCCTTAGGTGGATATGTAATTGATAAAACAATTACAAACCAGGAGTAGGTCTCAGATGGGGTTCCACAAGCATCTGTTCTAGATCTAATCTTGTTTAACATCTTTATTATTTACCTGGATTTAGGAATACAGAGCCTACTGATCAAACGTGCTGACACAAAGCTGTGGGGAGATTTGCCAGTACGTAGCAGTGCAGTGCTAAAACTCTAAGGCTGTGTCTACACTGGCAGCTTCTTATGCAAGAAAACGTCCACACTGCCATGTGCGAGCTGTGCTTTTGCGCAAGAGTGCCCTTGGCAGTGTGGACACGCTCTTGCGCAAGAAAGCTCTGATGGCCATTTTAGCTATAGGACTTTCTTGCGCAAGAAATCCCTGCTGACGCGTCCACACTGACCTCTTGCGCAAGAGCTCCTGTGCAAGAGAGCTTACACCTGTTAAAAAAGAGCGTAGCTCTTGCGCAAGGAGCCGTCTCTACTATGCCGTACTGTAAATTTTCTTGCGCAAGAGTGGGCAGGCAGTGTAGACGCTTTGCGGATTCTTGCGCAAGAACGGCCATACTTGCGCAATAACCCGTTAGTGTAGACATAGCCAAAGGGATCTTAAATTGGAGAAGTGGACTATAGATAACAAAATGAAATTACATAAAGATAAATGCAAGGTGCGATACTTAGAGAAGAAAAATCAAAGGCACAAATACAGAATGGAGGATACCTAGCTTGGCAGCTAAGGGATGAAAATAAATTAATAAGCAGCAAAGAAAATAAATAATATAATATAATATAATTATAATACAGAGAGAAGTGATAACCAAAGTGAACCAATAAACAAAAAAACAAACTCTGTCAGCCTTTTTATGTTATTGAAATATGTTCAATGTAAAAGCAACAGTTGCATGTATAAAAAGACAGTGAAGACCTTCAAAAAGATCTCACAAAATTAGGTGACTAGGCATCAAAATGGCAAGAGAATTTTAATGTTGGTAAATGCAATGTAATGCATATAGGAAAACATCTCAACTATATGTACAAAATGATGGGGAATAAATTAGCTATTGCCATTCAAGAGAGAAATCTTGGAGTCATTATGGATTGCTCTCTGAAAACATCCACTTAATGTGCAGCAGCAGTCAAAAAAGCAAACAGAATGTTAGAAATAATTTAAAAAGGGATAGAGAAAAAGACAGAAAATATCTTATTGCCTCTTTATAAATCCAT